GTATGTATGTATGTATGTATGTATGTATGTATGTATGTATGTATGTATGTATGTACATATGTACGTATGTATGTACTTATTATGTATGTGTGTGTGCGTTCATGCATGCGTGCGTGCACAATTTATGTTAAATATCCGATGTGCTGCACCAATGTATGTAATTGCCGAGCCTTATGTTAAAATGCGTGGATGTATTTGCCGAAGGCCTTTCAAATCAATAACTCATGTTTTTTTTAAATCTTTACTCCGTCAGTTTGGTCAGATGACGGCGGTGGACCATCTGTGTGTGGGCGTGCCGGAACAAGAATGCTTCGGGCTGCTGGGTCAGAATGGCGCGGGAAAGACGACGACCTTCAAGATGCTCACTGGCCAGGAGATGGTCTCCGGGGGCAACGCCTACGTCAAGACTTACGACATCAAGGACAACATCAAGAAGGTCAGCCGAAGGTCAAGGTCAATTGATTAGAAGGGGTGCAGATTGGTCAAATTCTTCTCTACTTTCCTTCCTCTGTAACTTGTGGTGTATTTGTTTTATTTTGTTTTAGTAAGAGTTTTAAAGCACCTGTAACACAAATAGGTCATATAAATGAAGATTAAAGGTGTTACCAGACAATAGCATATGAAGAAAAGAAGAAGGAGGGATAAGAACAATAGACGTTTGATAGGAAAGACGGAACAAACCACACACAGAGCATCCGCCAACAAGTGCTGTGCGATTTGAGGAAACAAAAAATCCGTCGACGCTTCGAAGCGTGAGCTCACTATTCATGCTATTCGAATACCTCTGTCGAATGTCTTTTTCTTGTATATGATAGGCCCAGACCTAACCTCCGCTTTTCAACATTCACGAACTATTCACAGTACCTTCGAATGGTTTTTTTCTTATATATGATAAGCCCAGCTTTAACTTCCGCTATTCGAAGCGCCGTCGAAATTCGAAGCGCCGTCGAATTCTTATATACGATAAGCCCAGACCTAACATCCGCTTTTCGGAGCATCGTCGAACTGTTTTTCTCTATACGATAAGTCCATCACTTTCACTGCGCCAGTCACTGAGTGCCCGTATGCCGTTGTCGCAGGCAGTGTAGTGTGATGACATGACGTCACCGTTCATAGCGCTTCGAATTTCAAATAGCCTAGGGAGAGGGGAGGCTATTGCGACAGCTAACTTCACGAGAAAAAAACGAACAATCGCTGTGCTTCAAGAGCCATCTGCCCTTGCTTGAGCTATGATATTCTCTAGAGGTCTCTAGAGGAATATCTTATAACTCTTGTTGGCTCCTCTAATCACTCTGTCTCGTAACCATCAAACAGAGTGTTTCAGTATATTTATCTCAATGATTTTAGACTTAATGTGCTCCAATTTTACTACGTTCGAGAAAAATGAGATGAAAATCCATTATCTGTTTTTAAAAAAATAAAATCATGTGGCATTCGAATTGCTGTGGATAGTGTAAAAATCATGAATGTCGAATAGCAAAGTCGAATGGGTACAGCCCTACCGTCAACCACCCCTGTCATATGCTGAGAACGAATACCTTGTGGTCAAAATCATCTCCATTTCTTCTCCTGTAACCTGTGGTATCAATATATATATATTATATTTGTGAAAGTTCGTCACTTTCGCAGCCTAAAACTTCCCTACCACTGAACTTTCGAATTTGACCAAATTAATGGTGGTTCAGAATCATTTAAAGAATGCACAGTTTTATTGAGGAGCCTGAAGTCACTGTAGTTTAATTTTCAGTTTTTCACTAGTTTCGCTTAGATCTAATCTTGTGAAAGTCCGTCTTCTAAGACGCGATTGTAAACAAGTAAAATTTCCGTTCACTAGCCGTGCACACCTTTGAAATTCTGGAGTGTACAACAACGAAAGCGGAACAGAGAATCAATCTATACATCTCTATATCTAGACCTTGTAATTTTTTGCATCTCTCAAGATTTATTGCTCCATTCAAGTAGAGTCTAAATATAGTAGGCCAATGACTTTCAGTTGATGTTAATGCAGTGATCATTCCTTTCTTCGAAAAGGGGTCCAGCTAGTATTTGATAATGGTAAAGTTTGACCCCCCCCCCACCCACCCATTTCAACTGTTTGACCTAGTGCACAACAATATCTAAGGTCACAATGGGGTTCTGAGTGGGATGACACTTAAAATCACACAGCAAAATGGGGGCAGGGTGTGGAGTGGCTCTTCCCAGTACAGACTTTGTCAAGTTGACTTCAGCATTTCTATTTACTTCATTACATGTCTGTGTCTCTTGCATAGTATTACCCTTGGGTACTCATTTCATTACATTACCATATTCAGTACAGTGCCATTTTCTTCAACGTACATTACATTTCCATATTCACTAGGCTACATTATCTGTTAATAA